CGAGAAGAATCCCAAAGTGTCTCTGGCAATGAGAAAGGAGGCCTGACATTCCTGAGAAGCCATGAGAGGTTCGCCGTCATCCCCGTAGTTCCTCGAGATGAAGCACAAGCTTCCTACCGCAACTTGGGTAAAACCAGAAGATTCGACCATCAATGCAAGATGATGCCCAATTCCCCTGCATTGCTTCCAGAGGAATTCTGTCTTCCACAACCAACAAGAAAGGAGGCTTGACTTCCTTTATAGAACTCCAGAGAGTCCACAAGAACACCTTCACAAGTCTAGAGGAACCCTGATGTCACTGCTGCAACACAAAAGAGCTCCATGTACCACAAATCATCTCAAGATGAGGGCCAATTCCCTTGCTTCATCTCGAGAGGAATGCCGAATTTAGAGTCGCACCTCAAGAGGAGGCTTCTATCAGCTATAGGTATGTGAGAGGGATCCTGAGTTTGCTGAGTCAAGTGGAATGGACACCGAGATGCCCTGACTCGAAAGAAGGCCGGATTTCCTTGCAGTGGCTTGAATGCAGGCTTGTCTTTCATCTCACAAGGTGAAGGGATGTCGAAACCCTCTGCTGAGACGCTAGGAAAAGCCCTAGTTCCCTGCTTCATCTCGATAAGAGGCCTCACATACTTTTCACAACTCGAGAGGAAGGCGAAATTCAATACTTCACAAGGAGACAATGTTTGACTCCTCTTGAAAATTGTTAGAAATCACAATATCACTGTGGCAACTGGAACGGGATCCTGTGTCTCCTGTCGCACCTCAACGGGCGTCCCTATTGCCTTGCCAAGCCTCGAGGAGAATCCCGAGGTGTCCCTCGCAACTAGACAGGAGTCCTGATGTTGCTGAATAAACACGAGTTTTTAAGGGCCATGCCCATCGTAACTCGAGAGGAAAACCAAGCTTCCTGCCACAACTCGAGAAAAACCATGAGACTTCCCCCTCACCGTGAGATGAGGCCCGATTCACCTGCATTGCCTGCAGAGCAATTCCAAGATCCACATCAAACAAGAAAAGAGCCTAGATTTCCTTTATGGAACTCCAGAGAGTCCCCAAGAACACCGTCACAAGTCTAGAGGAACCCTGAGGTTACTGCAGCAACACGAAAGAGCTCCGTGTAACCCAAATCAACTGAAGATGAGGGCCAATTACCATGCTCTGGCTCGAGAGCCATTCCACATTCCCCATCAAACACGACAAGTGGCTTGGCTTCCGTTAGGCAACTCCAGAGATTCCCTGAGAACACCATCACAGCTGTAGAGGAACACCAAGTTCAGCAGAGCATCTCGAGAAGAGCTCTGTGATCACCAAATCATCTGGAGATGAGAGCTGATTCCCTGGCTTCGACTCAAGAGGAATGCCAACTTTCCATAAGGACCTCAAGAGGAGGCTTCTGTCAGCTATAGGTATGTGAGAGGGACCCTGAGTTGCTTCCTCAAGTGGAATGGACACTGAGTTCCACTCACTCGAGGTAAGGCCTAATTTCCATGCAGTGACTCAAATGCAAGCCCGCATTTCCTCTCCCAACATGAAGGGATTGCTAAATCCCCTGTTGAGACCCTAGAAAGAGCCCTAGTTCCCCACATCATCACCACAGGAGGCTTCACACCCCTTTGACATTTCAGGAGGAATCCAGAGTTGCATGCTTCAACAAGAGACGTTGCCTGACTACTCTTGAAAATCGATAGAAATTCCAATATCCCATTAGTAACTGGAAAGAGACCCTGGGTCTCCCTCCTCAACTCGAGAGGCGTCCCTACTGCCCTGCCATGAATCGAGCAGAATCCTGAGGTGTCGCTGAAACCTAGACAGGAGACCTTACGTCGCTGAGAAAACACAAGTGTTTAAAGCACATCCCCGTCGTAACTCGAGAGGAAACCCCAGGTTCCCACCGCAACTCAAAGAAAACCATGAGATGTCCCCCCTCACCACGAGATGAGGCCCGATTCCCCTGCATTGGCTCCAGAGCCATCCCGCGTTCCCCATCAAACATGACAGGAGGCTTGACTTCCTTTAAGCAACTCCAGAGATTCCCCGAGGACACCGTCACAAGCCTATAGGAAGACCAAGTTCAGCAGAGCAAGTCGAGAAGAGCTCCATGTTCCCCAAATCATCTCGAGATGAGAGCTGATTCCCTGGATTCAACTCAAGAGGAATGCCAACTTTCCACAAGCACCTCAAGAGGAGGCTTCTCTCAGCAATTGGTATGTGAGAGGGACCCTGAGTTTACTGCCTCAAGTGGAATGGACACCGAGGTCCCCTCACACGAGGTAAGGCCTGATTTCCCTGAAGTGACTCTAGTGCAAGCCCATGTTTCATCTCCCAACATGAAAGGATGTCTGAATCCCATGTTGAGACACTAGAAAGAGCCCTAGTTCCCCGCCTCATCACCACAAGAGGCTTCACACCACTTTGATATTTCAACAGGAATGCAGAATTGCATGCTTCAACAGGAGACAATGCCTGACTACTCTCGAAAATCGATAGGAATTCCAATATCCCAGTAGCAACTGAAAAGTTACTCTGGGTCTCCCTCCTCAACTCGAGAGGCGTCCCGACTGCCCTGCCACAACTCTAGGAGAATCGCGAGGTGTCCTGGAAACTAGACAGGAGACCTGACTTCGCTGTGAAAACACAAGTGTTTAAATAACATCCCCATCGTAACTCGGGAGGAATCCCCAGGTTCCCACGGCAACTCGAGAAAAACCATGAGATGTCCCCCTTCACCACGAGATGAGGCCCAAATACCCTGCATTGGTTCGACATCCATCCCACGTTCCCCATCAAACACAACAGGAGTCTTGACTTCCCTGAAGCAACTCCAGAGATTCCCCGAGCACACTGTCACTAGTCTATATGAACACCGAGGTCAGCACAGCAATCCGAGAAGCGTTTTGTGTACCACAGATCATCTCGAGATGGCGGCCGAATCTCGTTTTTCGATTGGAGAGGAATTCTGATGTTCCACTCACACTGGAAGTGCTGCCTTGTCTCACCTGTTGAAACTCGAGAAGAACCCCAAGGTCCCTGATGTGAGTCGAAAGGACATCGTGTTCGCCCTCAACTCGACATAAGGACTGATTTCATGGCAACGACTTGAATGGAACTCTGAGATTCCTGTCGCAACATTAAGGGAGGTCTGATTCCCTTGTTGCACTTCTAGAAAAAGCCCGAGTTCCCCGCCCCATCTCAAAATGAGGCCTGACACCCCATTTCGAACTTGAGACCAGAGAGGTCTTCCATGCCTCAACACGAGACGATGCCTGACTCCCCTGGAAAATCTATACAAACCACAGGATCGCTGTCGCAACAGGAAACAAACCCTGACAATTCCGCCTCAACTCGATATGCGTCCCGATTCCCCTGTCACAACTCGAGAAGAATCCCAAAGTGTCTCTGGCAAGGAGAAAGGAGGCCTGACATCCCTGAGAAACCAGGAGAGGTTCACTGCCATCTCCATAGTTGCTAGAGGGGAACCACAAGTTTCCTACTGCAACTTGAGTAAAACCACAAGATTCAAACTTCAATGCAAGATGATGCCCAATTCCTCTGAATTGCCTCCAGAGCAATTCCGTCTTCCACAACCAACAACAAAGGAGGCTTGTCTTCCTTTATGGAACTCCAGAGACTCCCAAAGAACACCGTCACAAGTCTAGAGGAACTCCGAAGTAAATGCCCCAACACAAAAGAGCTCTGTGCACCCCAAATCATCTCGAGATGAGGGCCAATTCCCTTGCTTCAGTCGCCAGAGGAATGCCGACTTTCCATACCCACCTCAAGAGGAGGCTTTTATCAGCTATATGTATGTGAGAGGGACCCTGAGTTTGCTGCCTCAAGTGGAATGGACACCGAGTTCCCCTCATTCGAGGTAAGGCCTATTTCCCTGCAGTGACTCAAATGCAAGCCCATGTTTCCTGTCCCATCATGAAGATGAAAGGTTGTTGCTGAAAGATAAGACGCCGGGACTCTTGGCCTCCGGAGGAGAGGAATTCAATCCAGGGCTAGTGACAAAGCTGGATCACTCAGAGCTTTTGTGTAATAAAGTTTTATTAAAGTATAAAGGAGATAGAGAAAGCTTCTGACATAGGCATTAGAAGAGGGCAAAATAGGACCCCCCCCTTGTCTTTAGCTGTATGTTATATAGTCACTCACAGTCTGTTAATGAAAAGAAAGTAATGTCATACAATTTAGAATGGCACCAGATAATTCATCCCTGGCCATAAAACGATTGACTTGAATCTTGTAGAAGTGTGGAATACCAACAAATAATTTCGTTTACATAGATTAGAGGAATAATACCTGAGTAAGTAAGTTAGGCCATTTGGCGGAACCAACTTGAAAATAGAGTCTGGGGTAATGTAACATATCTTAAGACAACATTTCCATAAGAAAAAGAAATGTATTGGTTAACTCAAGATTTGAGAGTAGTTAGCTTTAGGTGAGACCAGGTGTCATGGCAACACAGCATTTTAAGTGAAACCTCCTTTTAAATTTGTACAGAGAAGGAAAAACATATCACTGGTTTGTTTCTTCCTTCTGCTTAAGAGAGATAAAAATGTCTGGCATTTGCAGCCTCTTTCCTCTGTTTGGAGACCCCCTGGCCTGCCTGCCTGTTACCCTCTCTTTCCCCGGTTTTCTTTTAGGAGAATTATGTTGCCTAGGGAAAAGGGGCGTCATTCTCATTCCATAACTGCTTCCGAGCTGACAAGGAGCATTGTCCCTAAATTGGTGAGGCAACATATTCTCCTAATCCTCATAGTGAGGATGTCTGATCCAGGGGCCCCAAATAGTAGTTGGAAGAAGCTGCAGTGATACCAGGAATTTGAGCAACCATTTGTAACTTAAAAGCTTTCATGCGACTAGAAATAAATCCAGTTACACAGTTACAGATGCAGGGAGCAAACAGCAAAAACAAAACAATAACAATTATTGTAATTAAGACAGTTTTCCACCATGGGGAACTAGTTAACGTCTCCCAAAGTGAGGCAATTGAGGCTTCAGGAGTATCCATGGCCCCCAATCATCTTGTTCATGTGTTTAGTAAAGTGAGTAAGATTAGTGCTCATATCAGGTATATATGTACAGCATTGGGTATGAATGATGGCACAATTCCTCGTTGTGCAGCTGTCAGAATATAAAGCCATGAAGGTATTCACAGACTTGGAGAAAGTCTTTTCTTTGAAGTGGAGATATCCACCATGGGAAGCCTTCCACTGATGAAGAGGGGAGTGATCTGCAGACCCAGCAGTTAGACCGATTGTGGAATGCAGCATAGGAGTGAGCCTAGGACAGGAAGGCATTGTCTTGAGGATCAAATGGCAGACTCAGGATTTCTGGAGTCAGCAGAAATAGGCTCACATAGATTATCAGGCCCATCTGAAACATACAAAGCATAGAAAGTAAAAACATAAAATGACATCACTTAGTTCTGGTCAGGGTGCCACCTCTTGACTCGAGTGTGATGTACCCATGAATCAATTCCTGGCACTTTGACAGCTGTGGGAGAAGAAAGAATAACCTGGTAAGGGCCGTCCCAGAGGGGCTCGAGGGATGAGCCCCCAGATCCCAGTGTTTTTATGAGGACCTCAGTTCCTGGCTCAAATAGAGGCGTGCTGGATTCAGAGGCTGGGTCATTGGTCATCTCCCAGAGTTCTGTTAATGCCTGTTGAAAAGCTGAGAGCTGAGTTACATAATTAGTTAACTCCAAGGCTTCAGGATCTTTAACAATGTCTGTGCATAATAAAGGCCTTCTATAAATACATTCAAAGCGGGACAGCCCCTCCTTTTTTGGGGCAGTTCAAGCCCTCATTAAAGCTATGGGTAGGACTTTAATCCAGTTGTCATGCATTTCTTGAGTTAATTTGTGCAGATGTCTTTTGATGTCATTAGCTTTTTCAACCTTTCCTGAGGATTAGTGTCTCCAGGAACAGTGTAAGTGATACTCTATTCCTAGAGCTTTAGACACCCCCTGAATTACAGCAGCTTTAAAGGCAGAGCCATTGTCACTCTGAAGGCTCTGTGGCAGCCCAAACCTGGGGATAATTTCATGGATTAAAATGCTTGTTCACTTTAGCTTGTTCACTACGACAGGGGAACACCCTAATCTATCTAGTAAAAGTATCCACCCAAACTTGTAAGCAAGAACATCCATTAGCTTTTGGCATGTGAGTAAAATCAATTTCCCAGTCCTCTCCAGGATATTTTCCCTTTCGTTGTAATCCAGATTTTGCTAGCTTTTCAGTCTTTGGGTTATTTTTCTGACAAACCTCACACCGTTTGATAATGTTCTTTAAAGTTTTCATTACATTTTTACCTTCAAACAAATGAGAAGCCATCTGATAAGTACTTTCTACACCCAAATGAAAACTCTGATGTAAACCCTTAAGAATTTTTCACTGAGCATTTTCAGGAATTATTAATCGTCCATCTTCAGACTGTAACCATCCTTTATCAGTAATCTTTGTTCCTCTTTTTTCATATCTTTCCAATTCTTCCTCAGTATATTGTGGTTTTTCCTGTTCCACAAGACCTGTCCATATCAAAGGCGTCTGTAGGGAGGGGGGTTCATAAAGTGCCACTTTTTTGGCTTGAGAGTCAGCTAACAGGTTACCGGCAGCTACTTTACTCCCATCCCTGCTGTGCCCTTTGCAATGCATAACTGCTACTTCTTTACGACAGTAGATAGCAGTTAAAAGTCTCTCAATCTCTCTGAAATGCTTAATAGGTTCTCCTGTTGCTGTTTTAAACTGTCTTTCTTTCCATATTTCAGCATGAGCATGTAAAGTTAAATAAGCATACTTAGAATCCGTGTAGATGTTCACTCGCTGTCCTTTGCTTAACTCTAGAGCTCGGGTCAAAGCCACAAGCTCCACTAACTGGGCACTGGTTTCCTGGGGGAGAGATTTTGCTTCTAAAATCTGTTCAGCAGTCACCACTGCATAACCTGCTTTACGCTTTCCATCCCGAACAAAAGAACTGCCATCTGTAAATATTTCCATGTCAGGATTCTCTAATGGGGTATCCATTAGATCCTCCCGAGCTGCATAGTTTAAAGTTAGGAATTGAGAACAATCGTGATCAGGTGTTTCATTTTCCTTCTCAGGAAGGAAAGTGGCAGGATTTAAATTTCCACAAACTTTAAGCTTAGTTGCTGGTCTTTCTAACAACAGTGACTGATATTTAAGAAGCCTACTGTCTGTCATCCAAATATTAACCTTAGAATTTAAGAGTCCACTCACATCATGAGAAGTCAGTAGAGTAAGGTTTCGTCCATTAATTATTTTAAAAGCTTCAGGTGCTAATAAAGCCGTGGCCCCAATTACTTTTAGGCAGTGGGGCCACCCACGTGCAAGTACATCTAATTCTTTGCTTAGATAAGCAATAGGTTGCTGGTGAGGCCCTCGGGGTTGTGTCAAAACTCCCAAGGCCATACCTTTTCTTTCAGTGACAAACAAGTTAAATTCTGACCCTGTGTGCAAACTCAAAGCAGGAGCTTACAGGAGAGCAGTCTGAAGAACCTTAAAAGGCTTTTGAGTATCTGGACACCAAACCAGTTTGTCTGTTTGGGCCTGCTGAGTTTCAGCTATAAGTTTATATAAAGGCCTGGCAAGTTCCCCATAGCCCGGAATCCAAATACAACAGTAGCCTGTGATTCCCAAAAATCCTCTCTATTGTCTTAAAGTCATAGGTAGGGGGTGGTTTAAGATAGGTTTAATTCTCTCAAGGCCTATGGCCCTAGTCCCTTCTGATATGATTAGGCCAAGATAGCTAACATATTGTTGGCAAAGCTGAGCCTTTTCTCTTGATGCCTTGTAACTGCAGCCTGCCAGAAAGTTTAAGAAATCTTCTGAGGCTCATGAACAAGCTTCCTCTGTCTCAGCACAGAGTAAAATATCATCTACATATTGTAACACTACCACTTCAGAGCTATTAAAGTTTTGTAGATCCCGTGACAAACTTTGCCCAAATAAGGGAGGACTGTCACGAAATCCCTGGGGCAAAACTGTCCAGGTTAACTGAGAAGCTGGCTGCGTGGGGTCTTCAAAGCCAAATAGAAATTGACTTTCCTCTGCCAAAGGCACTGAATAGAAGGCATCTTTTAAATCAGTTACTGAAAAATATTTGGCTCGTTCAGGAATTTCAGACAATAGAGTATAAGGATTAGGCATCACGGGGTGCAAAGGAAGCACTGCCTCATTTATTTATTATTCGTGAATCTTGGACTAGTCTCCATTTATCATTTGATGTCTTTATACCCAAAATAGGAGTGTTGCATGGACTGTTACAGGGAACTAATAGTCCCTGCTCCTTTAAATTCTCAATGATGGGTTTTAACCCTTCCTTAACCTCAGGTTTCAGTGGATACTGCTCCTTATGTGGAAATAAGTGCAGGTCCTGTGGTTTGACAACCACAGGAATAGCATTTTGTGCTCGACCCACAGATTTTCCATCACCCCATACTCTAGGATTCACATTTTGTTCAACTAAAGGGAGAGAAAGGGAGGGCTCCATATTCATGAAAACAGAGGCATGGACCTTTCTCAGTATATGCCTCCCCAAAAGGGGTGAGGGTGATTCTAGCATGATAAGAAAATCGTGTGAAAACAGCACAGAATCCCAGTTGCACGATAAAGAATAACTGAAATAATACCTTTTGGCTCATCCAGGCAGTCCCATTACGGAAGCGGATCGAGAAGAAAATGGGACAGGGGCTTCAGTAAGCACAGAATAAGTTGCCCCAGTATCTAAAAGGAAATTGACAGATTGGCCTCCCACCATTATCAATACCCGGGGTTCCTCAGGTGTAATTAGGACGGGAGCTTGTGTGGGGACCCCGGGCACTTTCAGTCCTGATTGTCTTGAGAGTCAGACCCCTGAGACCTACGCCTCTGGGGGCAGTCTCTCCTCCAGTGTGGCCCCTTGCAGATCGGACATGGTGGGGGGCCGGCTTAGATTCCTGAGGGCAATCCTGCTTGAGATGCCCCTCCTTTCCACAGCAATAGCAAGCCCATCCCTTTTCACCTGGGTCCCTCTGGGCATTTTTCTCAGGCTGTTTAAGAACGGTTTTCATAGCTATTGCGAGGGCTTCCACCTTTTCCTTTGTCTTTCTCTGCCTTTCTTTCTTTTCCTCATATTCCCTACCATAATAGACTGTCTGAGCCAGTTGTAACAGATTATCTAAAGACTGATTTGGTCCATACGCCCGTTTTGATAACTTACGGCGAATATCTGGAGCCGACTGAGTGAGAAATCTATTCTTTAAGATCACGTTTCCCTCTTCACTTTTGGGATCAGTCTCAGTGAATCTGCGAAGGGCTTCTCTCAGTCTATCTAGGAATTTACCAGGAGCTTCCTTCTCCTCCTGTTCTATGTCTGTCAGTTTACCATAGTTTAAAGGCTTAGAACACACCTGCCTGAGTCCTTCAAGAATACATCTGACAAAATGACTCTGATCCCATCTTCCTTTAGCAGTGTTATAGTCCCAGTCTGGTTCTGTAACTGGGACCGCCTGACTCCCAGGTGGGAGGGCAGTTATCTCGTCCTCCCTCTTTCCCACTGATTCATTACCAAGTCATTCATCTCCATAAGCAACCGCTTTTCCCAAAACTCGAGCTTTTGAGTCCAGAGTCAACGTTTGTCCCAAGAAATACATCACATCCTTCCAAGTAAGGTCATAATGCAGAGTAACACCTTTAAAAGCTCTAATATATTTTTCTGGGTCCTCTAAATAGTCTCCCAGATCCTCCTTAATTCTTTGTATCTCTTGATAAGAAAAAGGCTTATTAACTCTCATAGACTGATAATTTCTCCCGGTGGGTACTTCATGAAGAGGCAACAGCATAAGTGGCTGTCCCTCAGTCTCTCTGGCTGCTCTGCACATATCCCAGGGATAGATTGGGGAAACCTGCTTTTCTTTATCTCTTTGCCTCCTGTCCTCCCTCTTATCTCTTACTTCAATGGTCTGAGTTTCTACTGAAACCAGAGTAGTCTGAAGTCATACTGAGACAGGAGTTGTTTGGACCTCTACGTGAGCAGTTCGAATCTCAATTTGGGTTCCCACTGCGACCGAGGCAGTTTGAATCTCAGTTTGTGTTTCCACTGAGACCAAAGTAGTTTGAGTCTCAGTTTGTGTTTCCACTGAGACCAAAGCAGTTTGAACCTCAGCTTGGAACCCCGGATACGGGGGCAAAGTAGGAGGATGGGGGGGGGAGCTGAGGTTTCACCCAAATTTACACCCTTAGGACATAAGTCTGACATATTTAGCAGAGAGAAAAAGGGCAACACATACACTACTTTTACC